AAAAAAAAAAAAAAAAAAAAAAAAAGAAATAAGTCAGGCCGTAAAAACAATACTATGTGATCTCATTTACACATGGAAGCTAAAAAGTTGATCTCATCTAAGCATAGAACAATGGTTATAAGAGCCTGGGAAGGCTGTCGAGGAGGGGCAGGATGTGGAGAGGATGGGTAACTGGTGCACAGAGCAGTCAGATAGAAGGAAAGTCCTCTAAGGTTCGACTGCACAGTTGGATAATTATGGCTGACAACAATTCATTGACATTTCAAAATAGGAGAAAGAATTTTAAATGTTTCTAGCCCAAAGAAATGAATGCCTGAGGTGATAGCTATTCCAGTTACAATGATCTGATCACTACACATTATACACTTGTATTGAAATGCGACATTGTACCCTATAAATATATACTTACCATATATCAATTAATAATTTTAAAAAACCATTTTTTAACACAACGTATACTCAGGGCATATGCATATTTCTGAGAGGAGGTTTTCCTGAGGCCTGTGACTCAGCAAACGTCTTGACCCATTTGCTGCCTATGGCAGCCAGGACAGCAAAGCCCACCTCCTAACCAATGGGAAGGGCCCAAATTCTCAAAACCCTCTGGGACTGGGATGGGAGGAGGAGGAGGCTTCTGGGGACTGAAGGTAAAGCCCGTGCCCACTGGCTATTCTATGCCAGCAGCCTTGCTCATGGGTTTCCCATAAGAGACAGAGAAAGTGAAGGGACAAAGCTGAATGTGAGAGACATGGCTGGATGTGGCTGCTCTGTTTCTCCTCCTGCTGGGAGTCTACTGGCTTTGGTCATCTCTGGATACCTTCTCTGCCAGCAAGCCCCACGGTGGGGCCTCCAGGAATGTACAGGGTTTCAGTGCTCCATACTCTATATCCTCCAAGGGGAGCCTCCCTTTGTCACCTTGGGGTAGGCTCCAGTACTCCATCAGGGACTCCAGGCTCAGAGAGCCTGCAGACTTACTTGGATGACTTGGTCTACCTTCAGGTCCTCCAGAGATGGGTACAGAGCAGACATGGCTGGTCCTTGGAACCCCTGCAGAGCACAGAGGATGAGAAGAGATGAGCATGCAGCAGCTCCCACCCTCCTAAGAGGAGGCACAGACATCTATCTTCTGCCACTGTGCGCCATTCAGCACCTCAGACATGAAAAAAGCAAAGTTACTGTCCCATTTTAGGGACAAAGAAGCAAGGATTAGAGCCAGACTAGTTGGTTCCCAAGCTCATGGCCTCCTCTTGTGAATTCCATCCCCACCTATTTGGCAGGCTCTGGAGACCAAAGGACAGGCTGACCAGGAAGTCCAGGATCATGAGCCACATTCTTCCCTGCCGTGTGTGAAAGGTCAGACAGGCTCACAAGGTCTGGTCAGTCAACTCCTAAATTAAATCTATCTACTGCATACCAGGCCTAGGTTGGGGGTTTGCGCAGCATCACCCAGCAACGGCAAAGAGGATGGGACTTGACCTTAAAACAGAAAAGCCGCAGAATACTCTGGGGTTCAACTCTGGATTTGTCTGGGGTGTTTTGTTTTGTTTTGTTTGTTTTTTAAACTAGACTGGGGATTGAACCCAGAGGCTTTGCACTAGAGCTCCACCATTTCTAGACTCCTAGGCAACTCTTGCTCTTAGCTGACTTGAAGTAATACTCATGGGAATTCATAAAAATATATGCACATTGCCGGGCGTGGTGGCGCACGCCTATAATCCCAGCACTCAGGAGGCTGAGGCAGGAGGATTGCTGTGAGTTCGAGACCAGCCTGAGCTACATAGTGAGTTCCAGGTCAGTCTCAACTACATAGTGAGACCCTGTCTCGACCCCCCACAAACATATATATATATACACATATATATATACACATATACATGTATATATATATATACACATATACATATACACATATCACACACACACACACACAGTGGCTGCAGGTATAGCTCAGTGGTTGAGCAGTGGCCTGAAATGTGTGAGACCCAGTATCTGCAGACACACACACACGCACACAGCATGTGCACATTTGTGTGCATGCAAGCACATGAACATGGGCAGAATGTAAACATTCTGATGGGAACAGGAAATGCAGCTCAGTAGCACTTAAGAGGCTCTACACACACACACACAGTGGCTGCAGGTATAGCTCAGTGGTTGAGCAGTGGCCTGAAATGTGTGAGACCCAGTATCTGCAGACACACACACACGCACACAGCATGTGCACATTTGTGTGCATGCAAGCACATGAACATGGGCAGAATGTAAACATTCTGATGGGAACAGGAAATGCAGCTCAGTAGCACTTAAGAGGCTCTGCATCACATAAAATAAACTGTTGACAGAATGATGCTCCACAAAGGAGGAGAGACTGGGTCTAGAGAAGGCACCACAAATATCTACTTCTATTTAGTAGGGCCACTGAGCAAGATGTCCAGAGACGTTCAAAGGAACTATTATCTATCAAGAAATACTTTCCTTCCTTCCCGGATGAAATGTGGGGAAGGAGCACTCACTTCCTGGGTTCTTCCTTTTTTACCCACTAACTCCTGGCTGTCACACCTCCTGCCCTTTGCTGAGCAATCCATTTCAGCCCTTGCCTCACCTCCTTGTCATCCTCAGTTCCTCTTGAAGAAGCCTCCCAGGCAGAGAGGTCACTGTCTCTTTCACCCTGTTCTCTGCCTTCCAGGCCGGGCTTTGTGGGCCAGGCTTCCTCCCTGAACTCTTCAACAGTCTTCAATCTGTTTTCCCAGCGGATTACAGTTTCTCAGGGTCATAGTGTGTCCTATTTGCCCACAAGACAGGCACATGTGACAAAGGAGTGCCTGGTGGCTACACAGGGAACCCAGTGGGTGAGGTGTGCTGGGGATGATGTAACTCGACTGCCTTCCAGGACCAGCTCTGCTGGGCACCCCTCTGAGTGACCCACTGGCACTAGGGATATCTTCAGGTATCACTGCTTTTCTCAGTACCTGCTTCTTTGCCTGGGTCTTCCTAGACCCCATAACCTTTCTAATCTGTCGTCAATCCCCTCTCCCATATCTCAGTTGTGCAGACTTCCTTCATCTTCTCATCATCCCTTCAGAGGACAACACCCTCCAAAGAGGCTGCTACCTCACCTCCTGCTGCTCTCCAGACAGCAGCCACCAGGCCTTTCATTGTGAGGCAGAATATCATGCCTCTGCTTAAAGTCTGTCAGTGGCTCACCATTGTCCTCAGAACACAGCCTACATTTTCTAAACACAACTTCCTGGTTCCTCCAGAGACTGAAACTGGTAGCCTGGAGGTCAGATGTAAACAAATTTTATTTAACCTCTCAGATTCCTTAACATTTGCCTCAGTGCAAAACACAAGATATTTCATTTAATAATCTAATTTCCCACTGCTCCTGAAAAATAAGAAGCTTTGTCAACCTTGGCCTGCAGCAGTTGAGGAGAAGCTGATTCCAGAGCACCCCTGGCTCCACCATTCTCTATTGCTCTTATACCTAGGCCACTTTACTCAAGTCCCACATGAATCAAGTCTCCACAGACATTTGTCTGCAACCTCTGCCTTACTCTTTGTTATGTGTTTCTTATGTGTCTTTTTCTCAGCCTCCACTTCCAGCTCCAGTCACAATGAGCTACTTTCATGTTCTTGAATGTTATTTTTTCATGTCTCCAAGTATGTTAGTCCCTCTTTCTGCAATACCATTCCAACCTTTGCTCCTCACCTTGCTAATTCCTGACAATTTTCAAGTCTAATACCAGAGGACCCCCTCTTGCAGGCAACATGCCTTGACTTGTACTTTCTCCTCATGTTCTTACTCGTGTAGATTTTTCACTACTCCCACAATTGTCTCTTCACTTGTCTGACTCATTAGTCTGGGACCCCCAAGAGGCCAGGAATTGGGCCTTCCTATTAGCTGCAGAGCATCTAACCCTGCATGAAGCACGGAGGCCAAGATGATGCATTTCCCTGTAAAGCAAAGGTCTGCTTTCATAGGACAGAGCCAAAGACCAGAAGTCCAGATTTCCTTTGTGTGCCTAAGAGTTGTGTTTTGTTTTACAAATTTAAATCTGTGCCAATATTTTATTTTTAAATATTTATTTATTTATTTATTTTTGGTACTGGAGTTCAAACTCAGAACCTTGCGCTTATGAGGCAGGTGGCAGCACACTGAGCTAAATCCCCGGTCCCAGTACCAATATTTTAAAAATGAAGATACAAAATTCTTTACTTCTAACCTGCATTGACAAAAATAATTCTGCAAGAGCGTGGATCATGCATCACAGTGCTCATCCAGGGTTCCCTCTTAGCTGGGGCACTTGCTTTCTTGTTCCCCAAGGTACATACCCAGACCTGTGATGACTGACATAGCCTGCCTGACTTCCAAAGACAGTTTTAAATCCTTGCCAGAGGTTGGGCTTTGGAGCAAAAATACCATCCTAAGAGGACAAGAATTTCTTGGGAGAATCTGCCTCTGACCTCTTTCAGACCAGCTGAGAGGAGAGAACATCCCACCAGGGAGACTTTATTTTTCAGCAGTCCACAGCAGTTAACATTTATCAAAAATATGCCTTACAAGGGCTGGGGATTTAGCTCAGCGGTAAGCGCAAGGACCCAAGTTCAATCCCTGGTACCAAAAAAAAAAAGTATGCCTTACCACCAGGATCATGCATGAACAGCAGAGATGAGCATGAAAGGTCACCTCTGCCCTGCTTTGCTTTAACACTGAGGAACAGAGCAGTATCACATTATATGATTAATACCTGGCTTTTTCTTCATGTTAGACCCTACTTCACAAGGAAAGGGACAGTGTCCAGATCAAAAAACTACCCCTATTTACCAAGACAGTGCCCAGCCTATATATGTTGGCAAAAAATTGTTATTTGACTAAATAAGTCAGAGGTTTCAAGAAACAAACTGAAAATTTGTGTAGCCAGTTTTGGTTGTTGCAAGACTGGGGGAATTCAACTAGCATTTAAGAGACAGGAGTCAGGAATAGGGACTTTTTATCATGTACAGAACTATTCGCTACAACAAACTTGTCTTCTGTCTTGAACAATTTTTCAAAGGTCTCCTGTCAAACCTTCGTGTAGGCAACATAAAACAAAATCTATTTATAAGCTGTTTGATGTAAGCAGTTTATAATCTAAGCTATACTACTTATAACATAATTTATACTATGCAGAAATGAGTATACCAGGCTAATGGAGGAAAGTTATAACTTCGTTTCTTCACCATTTTTGAAAGTCACTGTGGACCCTGCTCGCCAGAACAGCACACCTGTGTCTGCCTTCATTTGTAGCTGTTACAGTGAATCCACCCTCTGAGACTAACATGTTTAGCCTTGGACTCAAGATATCAAATACAAACTGTTGGCAAAAGCTGGGAGTGGTGGTGCACGCCTGTAATCCCAGCACATGGCAGGCTGAGGCAGGAGGATCGCTGTGAGTTCAAGACCAGCCTGGGCTACATAGTGAGTTCCAGGTCAGCCTGAGCTACATAGTGAGACCCTGTCTCAAAAAAACCAAAACAAAACAAAACAAAAAAACTGGCAAAGCTTGGTTGAAATCGTCTACTAAATCTAATTTATGTGTATTCTTTTATTTTATATTATTGTTACTTCCCTCTGTTATAGCAAGGCATCCTAATTTTTTTTAACTACCTGAAGGGAACCACCACAGAGGTCTCAAGATGCACCTGCCCCTCTCTCTGCCTCAACTGTCCGCTTTGGGAAACAAGCATCTGAAACAAACTCCATGCATCGGAGTACCGAGAGAAGCCTGACAGTCAATACGGCCGGTCCTCCACAACCGACCAGCCTCCAAGGTCCAATCTGTGACAGGACTGGATGATCTTCAGTTATCCACCGCCTCAGCCCACAGAACCTGGCCGGAAGTGACGTCTTCCGCTTGCTATGGGCTACGGCGTCAGTGCAGAGATCCCACTAGGCTGCGCAGTGGGCTCCCAGAATGCCCCGAGGCTGAGGGAAGAAAAATGGCTACCTGTACGGCGCGGGGGGGGGCGGGTAGTTGATCAGGTGGGTTACTAAAGTTTACAGGCCTCAGACTTTTTCCAGGTCATCGTGACTAGCACCATCGCACGCAAAAAGACATCAAGCAACGCAGAAGAATAAGAGTTAGAAGGCTAGGTCGAACTCTGCATCCCGTTTTACTGGAAACTGCGTGTCACATGAGCTTTATAGTGGACGAATGGGCGGGCGTGGTGGCACAGGCCTGTAATCCCAGAACTCTGGAGACTGAGGCAGAGGACTGTAAGTGCTAGTCCACACTGAGTAACTTAGTAAAACTGTCTAAAAATAAGGGCTGGAGAGGTAGCACAGTACTGGGTTCAGGCCCCAGTACCACAGAGGGGAGAGGAGTCGGGGGGGGGTCAGGGGGGGCAGGAACGAGGCTGGCGAGTAAATGAGTGTTCCCCTTGCTCTCACAGCCCTGATCTCAGCCCTTGTGGGTACTGAAAGAATGGAGCGCAGTTGAGCCACTCCCTCCTGACAAAAAAAATGCTGTTATTGAGGCAGCGTTTGGATCAGAGGAGAGCAAATCTCCCGGTGCTTGTTGCTAGTACTGAAATGGAGGCTCCTGCCTTCCTTTTGACTTCATAAGGACCTTCAAGTCCCTAAGTATTTTCTAACCACCTTGATGTCACTATCCCTTCCACCCTCTCACTGGGGGATTCTGGCTTGTCTCAGACTCTCTTTTTTTTTTTTTTTTTTTTTTTTGGTACCTGGGATTGAATTTGGGACCTTGTGCTTGTGAGGCAGGCAACCACTCAGCTAAGTCCCTGGCCCTTGTCTCAGACTCTTGATACAGTGTTAAGCAGAAAATACCCTGCCCCACAGTGGAGGGCCACCCTTCAGTGACTGGCGATTGGGATTCTGCTGTCCAGGGAAGGAGACTTGAGTTTGGCTGAGCAGAACACTTCCCATGGCAAAATCAGACCCAGTGTCTCTTACAAAGGACTCAGGCATTTGGGTCTGTGGGGCACGGAGAAGAGTATGGAAATCAGGAAACTTTTTAAAGTGGAGGAAGAGCAAATACCTGATGTGGCCATAAAGGATGGAAAGTTCAAGCTGTGGAGTGTGCTATTTCAAGAATAGGGAGGTCCTAGTAGGGGAAGTGGAAAGGGTAGGGAAAAGGAAATAAGGGAAAAGAAAAAATATGGAAAAAATGTAAATAGGGAAAGGTGAAAGGGGTGAAGGGAGGACAGGGGAATGAGGAAAAAATAAGAACCAAAATCTATAATGTAAAGGTACAAGATCCCAATGATGAATGTAACTGTATTGTTTACCTTAAATGTACCAATAAACTTAATTGAAAAAAAAAATAGGTCCAGCCTGAGTTGAGCTGCCTTCTGCATATTTATGACTTCCTGAAGATTGTCTTTCTAAAGCCTTACCCAGTTGTGCTCTCCGTCCATTGCAGCCCCACTAAATCCATCCTTGGGCTGACTCAGATATGTGGGAGTTATCCTTAGCTCCTGCCCTTCCTTATGGCACATGAGACATGGACTTCTCAGGCCTGTTTCAACCTAACTCCTCCCAAGTCTGCAGTCTCACCTCCTGACACCCTCATGGTGCATTTTATTATTTGAAGCTACTTGCTTGCTCTAAAACTCAGTTCACCAGCTCGTGCCTTCAGCTTTTGGAGGTGCCATTCCCTCAGTCTTAAGTACCATTCATACCTTCTCCCTCTTTTTTCATCTGGTGAACTCCAGTTCCGAGCCTTTCCTCAAATCCAGCACAAAGCCTCAGAGATCAGCAAGCCTTCCTTTAGACCACAGCACCTCATATATTCACCTTGTCCAGTTCTTTGGGACACACAAGACCTGGAAAGAAGGCCCTGGGAAACTCATCTGGTAACCTGTTCATTCCTCAGATGATTATGAAGCACCTACTATGAGCAAGGCCTTCCTGAGGAATTCCACTGTGTACTATGTTTATCATCCTCACTGTTCAAGACATGCCACTTATTTGGGGGTCCTCTTTGTTGAGCACAGGGCCCGCACATAGGCATATAGTTACTGTTTTAGGGGCAGAAAAGTAGATGGAAGAGAAAGCCTGAAATCCTAAATACACAGCCTTTCTCCGTTTTCACCTGTGTTTACAATCAGTAGAAAGTCCTTTGAAAAATAACCATGGGCCTAGAAAGAAGAAGAAAGCCTTAATGTGGTGGAGTAAAAGGCCTCTTGTCTCCTGCAGTTTGACAGTGGAAGACTGGTCTGTTCTATGCTAATGGCTTCCTGCAAATAATTGGTTCCTCTGAAAGGAGCCCATCAAACCTTTCTCTCCCAGAGGAATTTTCCTTCCCTATAGCACTTGCCACATTACTGTCCCTGTGCTTCTGTATTTCTTGATATTATAAGCAATAGCAACACTTACCAAAAAACAGCAATCAGGTCCTTGAGAGATCAGCAGAGCTGAAAGGGGTCTCCAGCCCCCACCTTTGCATTTAGAATAGGAACACTTTGTTCCAAAGAGCTGAAGCTCTAGTACTCCCACTTGTTCCTGTGGACAGCTCATCTGTCCTTCAGAAGACAGTGTGCAGGAGGGATGCGTGGGTTACAGTGGCAGAGGAATAGCTCCTGGAAGGCCAAATTAGCCCAGGGATCTGGTGAGTTGGAACGGAAGAGGCTGTTGCTAGGCCACCTGCATGCCCCCCCCACAGCTGTATGGCCTGCTGTGGAGAAGCTGTGGACTTCAGGAAATACAGATGCTTCCAAATGAAGGCTCAGGGGAGACATGGCAGGAAGCAGGCTGGACTGGGCCCAGACTGCCTCTGACTTGTGAGAGCAGAGCATGGGTGAGTCCCTTTTGAGTACCATTTCTTTTGTAATATGAGTAATAACATTAGCATCACAATTATCTGAGGATTAGATTTTTTAAAAGAGAAGATGTGTGTGAAAAGCATTTAGCACAGTACTTAGCACATATGCACTCAGTAAGTTAGTGAACAATGAACAAAGGAAAAATCAGTTCTTGAGGAAAGTACTTTCTGGTGTGGAGTTGGATAAAAAACTCCCTGACTTTGGAGGTTGTGGTAGGCATTGGGAAGCATATGAACCAAAATGGAGAGTACAGAGTATCAGAAGGTCCAGAAGAGCTTCACTGCAGGGACAGGGCCTTTTGAGTAAAGACCTAAAGCAGTGGTGGGAAGAGCATTCCAGGCTGAGGGCCCAGCCCTTGCACCGGCCCTGAGAGGAGAGGGCCTATGTTGGGAGCATCTGATCACTGAGACTGACATCTGCTATTGAAAGGGCAGCAGTGGAGGAGAAGGCTAAAGTAGAGGTGAGAGGTGCCAGACCCTTTAGGACCTGTAGGTCTTGGTGAGAATGTCAGCATTTCCTCTGGTAAAAAGGAAGCCAATGGGGAATTTGAGGAGCAGAATGAACGCCTCTGTTCAGTTTATCCATCCCTCCAGGCTGGTGTTGGGAGACAGAGGCAGAGTGGAAGAACCCAGGTAAAAAGTGCTTGTGTGTAGTTATGAGCTGGGGCACTGAATGCAGTTGTCAGTACATCCCAGTGCAGCCGGACAGGCTCATTCTAAGTCCTCTCCTGAGCCCCTCCTCTGTGGAGGCTGAGTACTCACTCCTGATTTCCATCATCTCATTCCATCCTAGCGGAGTTATTTTCAGCTTCCACATGAGGACACAAGTTCTTAGAGAAGTAAAGCCATCCGCCCAGTTTCCCAGCAGGTTTTTTTCCTGCTGTTAGCAGGAAATTTGTTGGTAGAAACAGCTTCAGAGAAAGGTAATAAGTGGAGGCCTGGCTCTGTTTTTGGAAACAGGCTCTTTGTCCATGACCTCTCACTTCATCTAATGTATGCTGCCAAGAGCTGTCAAGGAACAAAGTGTGGGTGCCATTGCCTGGGGTCTTCACAATAAGCAGCACAGTGAGTGCCATGGTCCAGCTGTCATTTGAACCAGCCTCCTATAGATGTTTGGGGAATAGAACAGGGGTGAGAGTAGAAGTGGGAAGCAGTTCAAAAAAGTCACTCTGCTCTCAGATCTGGGCTAGGTCTTGTGTTGGAAGAGGAAATCCTAGGCATGTTTCACTCCCAGAGTGAAGCATGTTGAAACTTCCTAGGAAGTTCTGAAAGACAGAGGCAGGGAGGAAAGGAGATGGGGTGAGAACAAGTCTTGTTCATCCCTGACCCAGCTGATAATGGGTCCCACTCTTACCTGTAGGCAGCTACTGCTGTATGTCCTCTTTAGCCTCTGCTCAGAGTCTGTTTGCCTCCCCTTGGTGGTGACTCTTGTCCCAGCTGGTTCCTTCTCTGGGAAGGGTGGTGCCCGCCCTTTGTTCAGCTGAGTCACCTCGGACTGGGATGGGCCCAGGCCAGGTACTGTGGCTGAGTAAACAAAGCAGGTGGCCAGGCCCAAGGAGACCTTTGCCTCAGTCTGGATTTGGAAGTGGGGTTCAGGTGCACACAGCTGATGCGTGGGGCTCAACACAGTGATGTTGAGTTGGGTGTGAGCCAAGGTTTTGGCCTTTCCTTGAAATCTGCATTCAGAGACAGAGTCGTGATGATGTGGGAAAGACTGGAGAGTGGTTTGATGAGTGCCCTGGGCCTTAAATGGTGGCCATATCTTATGACCTCATTTCTCCTGGAAATCTTCTACAGTGAAGTCTTAGGGCCCATCATTGTGTTGCTTCTGATAGGGACTGGAAATCCTCAATCAGTGCAGTTTGATTAAATAAATCATCATCTATGAGACATGACAAAGCCATTAAAATCATTGAAGGAAGAAGCTATGAGGAAATGTTTCTGAGATACTAGTGAGATAAAGAAAAATCAGTATTTGGTCTGCTCTTGTGTTTTGTTTTTATTTTTTGGACAGTTGTGTACCACAGAGAGCCTAGGAATTCACACTCAAATGCCTTCTTTTTTACTTTTCTTTTTCTTCTCTCCCTCTTCCTTCTCCCCTCCCTCCCATCCTCCAATCCTTTCTTTCATGTTTACTATTGAGCCCAAGGCCTTGAGCACTACCACTGAGCTGTACCCATGGGTGCAGGGCAGCTTTTCAGTGTGTACTTGCATATGTTCCATGGTGGTAATGTATGTGTCTGTGTGCATCTGTGTATGTTTATATCTGTATGTTTTTAAAGTTAGTTTTTGCTCTGAATGCTTGTGTTTTTTGTTGGGGGGGACCAGTTAAGTTTGATTGTTTTAAAAGGGAATTTTGATTGGTTGTTCCCTGGAAGTGGAACTGTATATTTAATTGGGAGGGGATTTTTTTAATAGCATATTTTTTGGGGGGATAGTGACTTTTAATTTTAAAAAATGTAAATATGTTATCCCAATAAATAATCATATTAAAGTCAAGTTAAACAGAAAATAAAAAGAGGAATTTGTTTTAGATCTTGGTAAATTTGGCTGTATGAGGGCAGTACCATTAGGATGACACACTGCACCCACTCAGGGCAGGGTGAGTATTGGGGCTGCCTGCCAAAGTAGGCAGGCATACGTCACAATCTCCACAGTGAGTCTGGGCAGAACTGCACTAGCCTTGGACAGAAAATGGTGACCTTAGCCCCTCAGAGGAGACAGTCTGCCTGCCTGTAAAGAGCCCTCAGCCAAGAGTGTCACACAGGAAACAAATCACAAGAAAAGTGACATCCTTATCCACGTGGCCTCTCATCTCTGACTTGGGGGCAGACAATAGATCATGTTCTATTCTTTGAGAATCATCTTGTATTGTTCACATGTCTCTAAGGCTGCCGGTTAGATCCTCAGTTCCTTTAGGGCACAGCCTAGTTGGTAGGTCTACAATGGCCGCTGTTTTCACAATAAAAATTAGAACCTAGGCTCCCGGCTGGGGCTTTACAATTTTCCCATATTAACCCCAGTGGGTGGTAGCACAGCAGGGGTGAGAAGCCACACCTGCCTTCCTACGAGGAGGGAAACGGAGATCAGTGGAGCCTTGCCACCAGTCAGGCAGCAATTTGGTAGAGCCAGGATCCAAGGACTCCAAATCTTAGTCTCATTCAGCTGCCAGTCTGGGCAAGTTGCCCAGCCCTTTCACCCACTTTTGGCCTTGTGCTAGGGGGCAACCTGGGGCTGGCTAGGAAGCGGCAGCATGATCTGGGAAGTCTGTTCAGGCCCAGATACTTGCGGGCCCCTGCGGGCAGGCAGGAAGCAGCATTTTGAAAGCTGGCCCCAAGTGAACCAAAACTCTGCAGACGTGGGGCACCCAGCCTCTCGTTTACCCCCGTCGGCCCTGCTGGGAGCGGGAAAGGTTCTTTGCAGTTCTCTGTTCTCCAGTGACGAAACAGGCGAGCAGGGCATTGTCCCGGGACTCAGTCCAGCGCTCGCCAGACGTAGGCGAGCCCGCTCTTGGAGGAGGGCACCAGGGACGCGCTTTCCTGGCTGCAGCAGCCGGCTCCGTCTGGCGCCCAAAGGGGCCCCACCGGAAAGCGGGAACAATGGGCCGGAGAGGGGCACTGGGGTTCCGGAGGCAGGGGTGGGGCGCTGGGCCGGCTGGGAAAGGTGGAGACTGAAAGGAACCATTAGAAGTTTGGAGACTTTATATGCCAGGACCTATGTTAAATCTCTAACAGGGACCATCTCAGAGTCGTCATCGTACTCAGATTAAGCGCCTTACAAATGAAGAAATTGAGGCACAGTTTCATAAAAAATCTCAAGAAGTGAAAGTGAGATTCGAGCCTAGGTAGTTTGGCTCCATATCTTATGTTCTTGACTACAATAGATTACATGTATTATTTGGAAGATATATCAATATACAATATTAGTACTGTATATGGTAACAGTTGGTCCTGAGACCAACTGTTGAGAAGGTCCTGGTTCACTTACCTGGCAGTTCAGGTGACACTAGATAAGAAAAGCGTGCTTTTTAAATCACCTGTCAGTACAAAAAGAGCCCGTAGGGTTATAATAATGTTGTTATATATTTACATATAAATGCTATCTAACTTCTCATAACTGACCTTTTCTGTCTAGTCTATCAACAACAGATTTCTGTAGTCTGTAATATCCATGTCCCCTCTCAGCCCCATATGGAGGGCTGAACTCAGGCGCTTGCACTTTCAAGGCAGGCATAGAGCCAACTGCGCTAAATCCCTGGCCCCCAATAACGTCCATGTTTAACATGCTACCTGTAGTACCTGTAGAAGGGACCCAGACCATGGGCCCTGCCCAGCCCAATCTCTCTCCCACCATCTAAGGGGCCCGGGTTTCCCCAGTTAAAATGTGGCTCCTCTAGTTTAAATAGGTGTAACAGTGGTGGCACCAAGGTTTGAACTGAGGGGCACTTAAACTCTTTAGTATCCATCCAAAGCTCCTCTGCTACCCAAATATACCATACACACATCATCTAGATTTTTATAAATGTGCTTATTGTGCAAAAGTGCTTTGAGACAGCCATCCTCACATCCAGACTGCAGCACCCAAACCAGCTGGCGGGTTAATGCCCCAGAGGTTGTACCTTTGAATACAAGACTAGAAATGGCAGGTTTCTTAGAGTCCTGTTGGGTGGAGATTTGGAGCTCAAGGCAGTGGGAGGTAGGGGAAGACCCAACCTGGCTAGGCAGTGGAGGCTCTAAGAGGTTCTGCAGCTCTAGTCTGGAGTTCCGCTTACTGCGTTTTATATAAGGAGGCCTCCGATTGGCACCATCAGTAACTGGGAAGGCTTTCAGGATGCTGGGGCAGCTCCTATCCCGCTCTCTTTCATCCGTGCCAGCCAGAGGACACCCCACCTCAGTGCAGTGGGGACAGGTGGGAGACTCCTTAAAGACATTCAACTGCAGCACCAGGAAAGGTGATGGGGTGATAAAACACCTGCAGGCCCTGCACTGGGAGTTGAGTTTGGGCCCTAAGAGGCCAGCTAGGGCAATGCATGGGAAAGCAAGGCCCCTGCGTTTTGGGTTTTAGTTTCATGCCTGAGCATGTGCCACCCTGGGCAAGCCATTCCCTATCTTATCCTCCGCTTCCAGTTCCTGGCACACCTGGGACCTCTGTGCTCTTTCCACTCTCACAGGTGGGCTAACAGGGATGTGTCTTCTCTGGGGTCACCTAAGTTGCCAGGTGGTGATCTTAAACTCCCACTATTATTGTTTACATAATTAACTCTCAAAGACAGCTGTTTAATTCATTCAGCATTCATTTCCCCTTGTTAGGCATCTGGCCCCAATTTTTCTATGGGGAAGCCTCCCCTCCCTTACCTCTGACTCCAAGGGTACAGAGGGACTAGGCCTGTAAGCTCCGGCATTCTATCCCTCAAATCTTGGAGCAGGTACAGGTCATATGACCTGCATAGCCAAAGGTATCAGGCTTATTAGGGCTGCCCAACAGTGAAGGTTTGGAAGGTTTTTACCTGAGAGCATCTGAGGTCGGTTCCGCTAGCCACCACCCTGCCTCCACTGCCAGTGGAGCTGCTGCTGGGAAGGCAGAGCCAGGTGGGGGTGGAACTCTGGGCCATGGTGTAGCTCAACCCCTGTGTATGAAGTTGCCTTGGCACTTAGGATATTCATGTGCAGGAACCACTCAGGTGCCTTTTTACTGAGTCAGTTTGAAGGAAGTTTTCTGTCGCTTACAGACAGAAGAATCCTATTGTTTGAATCTTCTTAAGTCTCTGACACCATCAGTTGGCAGCTAATTTTTAAAGAAAAATATCAAATCTACTTAACAGTTTTTTTATTTTGTTTTGCACCCCTCAGGATCAAACTCAGGTCCTAAGCATTGAGATACTTCCCTCCTCCCCCCTTTTTTGAACAGGATCTCCACAAGTTTCCCAGGCTGGGCTCAAACTTGAGCCATCTGCCTCAGCCTCTAAAATGCTGTGGCACAACCATGACTGTCTAACAATATTCCGTTTTAACAGTTTCAAATGTGCCCTTTAAAAAATTAACTGTAGTTCATTTTTGTTTGTAAATTATGTATCATTGTCCTCTTTGGTGATATGATCAAAGTTCTTCACATTTAGTGTCTAAACTTATTTTGGCAAGTTTTACTACTAACTATATTACCTGGCTAGTGACAGCCATTTTTCTGATTATTCTGTATACTGGATAATCTTTTGTCCATGTAACATCATTTGAGAAGTTATTTTAAATGATGACAAGGGATCTAATCCAGTAAAATTCTAGAGTTTGATCACAGCCACCCAAGTAGGACAGCAGACAGTGACGCTGCCTAACTCATGCTCCACCTGCTGGCTGGCATGTTTCCCAGACATCAGTCGTAGGACACATCTTCATTCCAGAAATATTAAGTGGTAGAAGACAGTGCATCAGAACAAATTTAGGGATATAGTCATCACTTCTTGGGGGACAGTTATGGAGTTAAGCACAAGAGATGTGACCTGAAGTAAACATTGCTCTGTTTCTCAGGTGCTACACATCTATATATGAGAATAATGAAACTTCATTAGTACCTTCTTCCATGTAACTTCTGGAGTTAGGAACTCCAGAAAGGAACATCAGAGTCCAAGGAGAGAAGAAGAGACTATCCAAGGGCATACAGCCAGAGAGTGACAGGGCTCAGGCTAAAAGCTCCATCTGACTCCTCACATGGTCCTCATGCTTCAGTGCCCTTCCCTATGGATTGCATCCCAGCACTTGATGGATCCAAGAAGCCTCCGATGATCACCCAGGCCACATCCACATGCTTCATGGTAGGGGTTGTAATACTCATTTCGT